AAAGCCACGGACACCGAGAGGCTGCTGCAGAGATCACGAGCCAGCTGGTCTTCTCCGCTCCAGAATAAGGTGGACAACAAACAGTCCCAAAGCTCAGTCAGGCTGGAGAACATCGCCGGCCACGTCCGTGTCCCCTCGCCCTACGATTCCCAAGAGCATCGCCAGAGGATCCTGCCTCCAACCGTCATTCTCGCCCGTGACCTTCAGCTCAGCGCGTCCAACTGGCTTCTTTAAACAGAAGCGTGGGGAGAAAGGGAAATGTCTCTGAGATGGCATGGAAAAGGGCAGAAGGGGGTGGGCTGTGAAATATTAGACCAGTTCAAGTCTGCCACTTAATCCCGGTGCCATTCCAACAGGAGGGGGGTGCAGGAGAAAGCCGGTGAGCCCAGCCCAGCCGCGGCGCCAGTCCCGCTCCCTGGGACAGCACCCCGGAGCGATGGCACGGACAAAGCTCCAGGCTGGCAAAGCCTTAAATTATAGCAGGCTGAAGTAGGTCTGAGAGGCAAACGAGCAAATTCGTCATCATCTGCCGTGAAACAAGGAGCCTTTAAACTCCCGGGGTGGAATTCACGTGGGGCACCAAACAGCAGAAGACGTCGAGCAAACAGCTCTGAAGGGAAGATGCAAATTTGCAGCTCAGTAGAAATACCTGGGTGAAATTACACTATTTCCCATCAAACCTGTGGAGCTCTTGGATGCCCCAGGTTCAGGACTGCTTAAGGCTCCCGCAGGCGTTTAAGCTCACACATTGCTTAGTTAAGATCTTTTTTTTGGGGGGAGGGGAATAGATCACACAGAAGTTCATTAAAAGAAAAAAAAAATTAAATAACTAAAACCTGCTTAATCACCAGGACAAAAGCATTCACATTTTTCCAGCCACAGCTTTAGTCACCGAGGCTAAGCGAAGTAAGCTGCTTACTATTAAATCGGAGGTCTCTTTTGTTAAGGCTGATAGGGTTATTCTTTAACACAAAACTTAATTTTTGTGGGGAAAGTCATCAGAAAATGCGTGCTCTTTGACGCCGAGAAAGTCAACTGTTCCTTTGAGGATCAAGCGACGTTCTGCAGCAGCGACAGATTTGGGGAGAAATGCTGGTGTAGATTTAATTTTTTTAAAAAAAAAAAAAAAAAAAAAGTCATGATTTTGCTAAAATTTGGGAGAGAGAAAAGAATCTGGCAAAGCTTCCTGTTAACCAATTACTGCAATTTTCCAAGACGAATTCTCGTAACAGGTGGCAAACATAAAGCCTCGCGACGCTCTGATCTTCCCCCTTTCCCATCCAG